ACCAATCTAGTGTCTCCTTTCACGTATTCTGAAAAGGACTACTTCCTCATTTCGCATATCCTGAATCGGGCTAGTGTTTCAGAATCACTTGAATGCCTGTACACCCCATGGTGTTGACCCAACTTTCATTAATCATTGTTTTCTGATGCCCATCGCCACATATCCATCGCTTTTGAATCAGGAATACCCTTTTAGCCAGTCAGGCAACACCATACATTTCCTAGAGAGAATAAATTTCAACGAGTAAAGTGTGACTCTAATCCCAATCATGTTCTAAAAACGAAGTTAAGGCCACGAACCAAGGCTGTGTGGCTACGGTAGAAGCCCTTAGCGGACCAGGAAAGAGATTCAGTACTTTTACTAGCGAAGTTGAGATGTTCGGAATGTTATTCTATGCTTTGTGGATGTCTTATTAGATAGCTTTATAAGTAAATCTATTTTATTCAAGAAAACGGGTCGCGAATTGATTTCCTAGCCCCGTGCAACGCGAATAAAAAAGTACAGTCACAGCATCAAAGCAATAATAATTAAATTTAACTTGTGTTCTGCGTAAAATGAATGGTACAGCTGGTTATATTATTAGTTCTTCCAACCAATTTCCACATCTTAGCTCCAGGTGATGATAAGCAATCAATGTGGATAGTCTTCTGTCACTCTCTGTCAAACTGGTCTAATTCAGCGATTGACGTCGCCAAATCTTCATCAACGATACATGCATGGCATTCTCTGGTTATATCGCTTGAGTGATTCCATCTGTATGTCTCATGTCGAACACTTGTATTGTACCTTAAACCTCTCGTATTCGACAAAGAAGTGTTTTTGCACATGTGAACGGCTCTATCTCTTGTTCGAAAATGAGTTATCTTAGAAATAAATATGCTTATGCAAGAAAGGCTTACTTATCTTATATCTTTTTTGATATTCATTTTCTGCCTGTAGTTCTGATTTACACCTAGCATTTTTCAAGATGACGAAAATACTTCCAGCTCCCTGTCTCATGGTTACTGGTGCCAGGCTGGTTTGAAAGGATATACTGCACTCCCCTCTAACTCATTTTCTGAACACACTTCGCACCGTGAAAGAATGAAGTAATTAGCAACACATCATAATGAACAACGCGACATAAAAGATTCAGCATGTTTTTATATCCTAGGCCATGCCATTTCGTAGTTAAAACCTTTGATCTTTCTTGATTTAAACTT